TTATTATTATTATTATTATTATTATTATTATTATTATTATTATTAATATTATCACGCTCTGATGCTAAGGAGTTCGACTCCCCCTCCCCACTTGGAAAATAATCACTTCCAAATGCAAAACACAAGCAGAGGAGAGGAGTTTCTATTTTAATTTCACAGCACCAAGCAGCTTTAGTCCAGGACAGTTGAGCTAAGCCACGCCCAGGCTCCTTGCTGTCTCCTTCTAGCTCACACAGCAAATACTGCTGCAGTTTCCAAACAGCCCTCAACTCTCTCACACACTGACAGGATGCTAGCCAGATGAATACCGATGGGTGCTGGTAGACAGAGGCAGAATTCCCACCCACCCCCTTATTTTCCTCCCCAAAAACTAAGCCGGACCACATAGTTTTGTAGCGAAACACGGGTATCCAGCTAGTAACATCATAAAACCCAGAATTGCCAACGTTTAGCTAGGAGATGCCCCCAAATCTAAAAATCATAGTTTGCCATTTGATTGGAATTAGGCATAGGTAGAGAAAGATACCTTTTTTCTGACCCTATTTTTAACCTTGGTGTAAAAGCGACAATAACATCTGGATTAAACAAAACAGCAATTACCAAAGGGTTTACTTCCAGCCAAGAGAAACTAACCTATATGGAACTCACTGCAGGTAGACCTCGATTTACAACAGTTCATTTAGTGACCAAAGTTGCAATGGCATTGAAAAAAAATGACTCGTGAACGTTTTTCACACTTAAGGACCATTGCAGCTTCTCCCACGGGTCACACAATCAAAATTTCGACGTTTGGCCATGGACACGTATTTATGATGGTTCCAGTGTCCCCGGGATCACATGGTCACTTTTGGGGACCTTCTGATAAGTAAAGTCAATATAGATTCACTGAATGACTGGGTTACTGATATATCAACTCGCAATGATTCCCTTAACCCAAGGGTCAGCAACCTGTGGCTCTACAGCCGCATGTGGCTCTTTCAATCCCTCTGCTGTGGCTCCCTGTCACCAGGCGGCGCTACAATTGATAGGGCTTTCGGTTAGGACAGGTAGAGGAAAAAGGACACCGCGCTAGGAGGAGACTCTATGGTGGGGGAACCGGACTTCCAGTTGGCTCCAGAATTGAGTGGTGGGCATCTGGTTAGGCTCTTTGAGCCACCTTTGTGGCTCTTTGAGTGTTTAAGGTTGCCGACCCCTGCGTTAATCGCAATGGCAAGCAGGGGCGTGGAATGGGCCCAAACTCACTTACGAAGCGAGTCTCGCTTAGCAACGTTAAATGCTGGGCTCACCACCTGCGGTCGTAAAGTCCAGGACTACCTGTACCACACCTTTGCAGCAAGAGGTGTCCAAGATTAAGCCGACGTAAAACTGGATTGCACCTTACCGGAAACACGGTCGATGCTATACATTCGTTCCAGCTTCTTCCGGCGCCAGCCGGTCTCACCAGCCTCGTTCTGATGATGTTGTTGCTGTTGTTGCTGTTGTTGCTGTTGTTGTTGTTGATGATGATGATGGTGATGGTGGTGGTGATGGTGTTGGTGGTGTTGGTGGTGATGTTCTTCATCAAACGGAGGCTGAGACGACACTGCGAGCTGGGCGCAACTGGGATACTCTTTCGAGCCTTGCTGGTGACTTGGCCAACTGTCCTTGCATTGCCGGTTGATGTTGTGAGAACTCCCGGCATTGTGGAGAGGCTGACCTAAGGACCGTTCCCCATCCATCTCTTCTTCTCCCGTCCCTTTCAGGACTACCAGCTCCATGCTCTCGCTCTGGTGCTGCGAGAGCATGGGCCTCTCGCTGGAAATGGTATAGACTCGGGGTTTGGGGCCCTCGCCTGCCAGCTTCTCCCCAGCTTCCTCAGGGAAGGTGGGCTGGAACTTCCTGTCAGAAATGAGAGACAGACGTCGCTTGTTTTGAACGCCCACGTGGATCTCTGGGGAGTCTTCTTGACCGACGTATGACTCTGCCAACAGGTGATCTGAAAGCAGGATGAGAAAGACAAGATTTGAAGGACTTTCTCCCTATCTGGGTGAGGAACATCCTTGGCTGACCCAACCCAACCTGGGTTGAGTCTTCTTGGCGATATATGACTTGGCTAACAAATAATCTAAAAGCAGGATGAGAAACACAAGATTTCTCCCTATCTGGGTGCTGCAACCGTCACAAATGTGAGTCAGTTGACAAACCAAGTGACCATGGGAATGCCACGATGGTCCTAAGCATGAAAAAAATTGGTCCTAAGTTGCTTTTTGCAGTGCCGTTGTTACTTCGAACGGTCAGTAAATGAACTTGTAAGTCGAGGACTACCTGTGTAGAGCCATATCCTTGATTAGCTGTAGTTTTAAGGCTGGCCCTGAATTTATTTTGCTTCACTCTTGCTTCTGTTAGCTAACGAAGCCCTGACTGAGACATCCCGCAGGCGTCGGTATTAATTTAAACCATTTGGCTCCAATTTCAGAGCAGTTTCTAACGTTCCTTCAAAGCTTCTTTTTCGCCCTTGATACGTGTTGCCTTTAGAAAGAGGCTTGTGGGAGGGATGCAATTTAAAATTAGGGCGAATTAAGATTAATCTCCAGGTGCAAGCGAAGGCGTGGTATAAAATCAGTGCCGTACGAATCTTGGGGAATGCATCCCTACCTGCACCATTCTTGCCTTCTGGGTGGTTTTGAGACAGATAATCGCCAAAAGCCCTCGCCGCTCTTCGGGTCGAATCCAGCAGGGGGAAAATGCAAACAGCGAAAGACCCAAAAGAGAAGCAGAGGAAAAAAAAATTAATAACCCTGGCAGGAAAATTCATGACACTGCTACCTGCCAATCCCATTGCCTTCCCCTCCACCCCCCAAATGGACATTTTAATAACAGACATTGCAAAGAGATGCAAAGTGGCCAAATAAAATAAAAATTGCTTGTATTTTTCCTCCCCCTCCTTATACATTCTCTCTCCCTCTGTCTCTCTGGTATGTTGCTAATGCTGCTGTTGGCCTTACACCAGCAGAAAAATTGACAAGTGATATATCCTGCTGAGAAATTAAAGATATTTTCCTGTAGGGAAGGGATGGGGGTGGGAAGAGAGAAGTAATTCTAATTGGAAAAACCAGGGAGGACCACAGGTTTCTTCCCAGCCGTCTGTTCCAACACTTGGGCAGATCTTTTGATAAACTTCGTGCCATCAAATTACGCTCAGCTTTTAGGGGCCACGTAGATGGACCTTGTCTAGGAATGGATTCCTAGGTAAGAATGAAATGGTGTAGGATCTGATAGACCCTCCTTTTGATCCTTAACAGAGGGAAGGGAAGGGAAGGAAGAGGAAGAAAAGAAAAAGGGAAGAGGAAAAAAGAAAGGGAAGGGAAGGAAAAGAAAGGGAAAGATGAAAGAGGAAGGGAAGGAGGAGGGGAGAAGAAGGGAGGGAGAAGAAGGGAAGAAGAAGGGGAGAGGAGGGAAGGGAGAGAGGGGAAGGAAGGGAAGAGAAGAAGGAAGGGAAGGGAAGAAGGAAGGAAGGAAGGAAGGAAGATTACTAAGACACATGTGAGCACTGTGGACATTGGTATCAAGAAGTTGAAGCCCAACTACCATCATCCTCGGCCCCAAACATGGCATGGATGCTGGAACCCTCAAAGTGGTTATCTACAGTTATGTTGGCCAATTTTCCAACTTGCCACTCGTTGACACCAAGGACAATGTGATAATCAGGAACTACACGAGAAGGATTTTTACAGCATCCTTGCTGATCCTGAAAATTGCCCTTCGGTTCAGTTCCAAGCAGCGTTTAACTTCTTCCATAGTCCTGACTGATGTTGTTTAGATTCTGGTCCCTGAGTGGGTGAGATAACCCAACTGGACCGACCCGAGCCATTTTTCCCCCCACTCTAGCAAAATCAGAGACACGGATATACACCTCATTCAAACGTATGATCCTGAACCCCAGGAGGTTCTCCGCCTTTTGGATCACAGGGCAGCCCCTTCAAAAGCCCACCTAACCCGAATCCACCAACTCTCTGTCCCTTTGGGAGAAGAAACAAACCTCCTGTCTCTAAACTCTTGTTGCAAGTTTGGTTGTTTACAAAGAGGCGAAACGAGGAGAAGAAGAAGAATTCACAGAAGGTAATTAGCCGTCGAGGGAAGTAATTGTTCAGGGGCACTGGGAATCAAATTAAGAGCTTGAGGAACCCCAAGAGATGCCAAATTGAGCTGCTGGGAATCTCCTACTCTAGAGTCTACATAGAGATGGTTGGATCTCGGTCTACATAGAGATGGTTGGA